CCTCCCAACCACCAATCCCCTCGGCCCCTTCTTCCCAGCTCACCATCCGCCCCCACAGCCAGGCTGCAGGGATTCAAGGAAGGCAGCAACCCCTGGCTCCGACCCCACTCATGCTGCAAACCATCAACCAGGGGACACCCCCGCCTCCACAGGCCTTCAAAGGCCCCCATCGCCCCACCACCACTCATGCACTGCCAGCTGCTGGTACCTCAAGGGAATATACCACACACACACACACACACACACACAAACACACACACACACACGCACGCACACAAACACACACACAACACACACACAACTCACACACCTCCGGGATGGTGATGCGCTTGAGGGGATCCACCAGCAGCATGCGCGGTATCAGGTCGCGCGCGCCTGGGGTTTCGGGGTAGCAGGGCGGGGTGATTGTACGTGTATAGGTGTGTGTGTGTGCGCGCGTGCATTCGTGTGTGTGTGTGTGTGTGTGCGCGCGCGCGCGCAGAGTGGTGGTCGCGCCACCAGTACAAACCGCAGGCCGTGTCCGCAAGTGCACACACATGCGCAAGCGTGTACACACAAACACGCACGCACACACACACACACACACACACACACACACACACACACACACACTCATACACAACCACACTATCACACACATGTGAACACATCAGCACGTTTGTGTTCAAATCGCCCCATTCACCAGGGCTGAGGTGTGACGGCAGGTTGTAGACGCCCCCCTTAATCTTCTTGAACAGATTCGGGATGTTTTCGTCATCAAAGGGCAGGGAGCCGCAGAGCAGCGCGTACAGGATCACGCCGCAGGACCTGAGTGGCGCGGATGGCGTCGGTTGGCGTCGGTTGGCATCGGTTTGTTGGGGCGGTGACGGGTGACGTGGAGGCACCCAAGGGCGCCAGAGGGCACGGCCGGAGCGGTTGCTGACAATCGATGGTCCGGAGGAGGGCCGCCTGCAGGGATCCAATTGTCTGGCCTGCACGGAAATATGTACCAACACAAATATCGACCCCCTCCCCCCAACAAAGCAAACCCCCATCGGCGTGCGTCCTGAAGCAAACTACGGCAAGCCCCCTCACCAGACGTCAACCTCGGGGCCCGCATAGAGCTTGCCGCTGATCACCTGGGGGCAGGGCGTTTCGGTTGCATGGGGGAAGCCGAAGAGACAGAAGACTGAATGACGTAATGTGGCATATCGGGAAGGCGGGGAGGCAGGCGGGGCCCAGCAGCGAGTGTGCGTTTTGCGAGGCAGCAGGGGCCTCAACTTCAAACAAAGGGGTGCAGCTCTGAGCGGCGCGATCGAGATCCCAAAATGTAGGAGGCCGCAGGCAAGTCGTGCATGTGTGCTGGTGCGCGCCCTGCCACATGCGGCAGGCGGATCGGGAGCCGTGCGCAGGGCCCCACGCCCCCAGCCGCGCGCGGCGCGGCGCGTGCTCGGACGGGCGCCACACTCATGCGATCAGCTTGCTAGTGGATCTGGTGGGATCCTTGGAGTCCCTCGTAACGACCCGCAACACGCAAACGCCCACCTCTGGCGCGGCGTAGTTTGGGCTGCCGCAGGAGGTCTTGAGGAAGTGGCCGTCGTGCATAACATTGGACAGTCCGAAGTCCGCGATCTTGACCGCCATGCTGCTGTCTAGGAGGAGGTTCTCGGGCTTGAGGTCCCTGGGGGTAGGGTTTAGGGTTCATGGTAAAAGGCGCGGGGCGGCCGCGCGGGCAGGGGGCGGGTTTTTGGATGTCGCTCGGGTTGTCAATCGTTGGTGGAGGGGAGGGGTTGGCGGCATCGTGGGCGTGGTGGGGTGGGCCTTGCTTTGGGAGAGGCAGGAGGAGGGCCCTCGGGCGCGCTCTCGGCGGACAGGTCGGACTGCGGCCGCGGTCCAGCCTGCAGCGGTGGGCCGTTGCGATCCAGCCTGCCGGCTCTCGGGCACCCTTGCAGCTGAATCAGCACTAAAAGTTCACAACCGCATCCGCTTGCTTCATGACTCTCGTGAATGGATTGGCGAGGCACGGAGCAAGAGGGCGGGCGGGCGCAATGCGGCAGACGCGCGGACACAAGCGGGAACGCCCGCGGGTCGCCCGACCCGTTCAGCACGCTCCGTCACATCCACACAGCATAAAATTCACATGCACTCCAGATCACCTGTAACCCACATCCGCACGGAATCGGGCGCCCCGCGGCCCACCTGTGCACCACCATGTTGCGGTGGCAGTACTCCACCCCGGAAATGATCTGCTGGAAGAAGTGGCGTGCCTCGTCCTCTGGCAGGCGCCCCTTCTCCACTATGTGATCAAAGAGCTCCCCACCCTGGTTAGAAATGGTTGGTTACGTTCGCTCTGATGATGCGAGACTTATGTAAGAGTTTGTAGCTAAGGCGCGATGGTGTCTATGCAGGGAAGGGGTGACAGGGTGGATGGGCAAATGGCATGCTGCGCAGGCGGCCCGCGCCGCGCCTGCAGCCCTGGGAGCTGTGAGCTGCTGGGATGGCCGGGCACGGCGCAACGGCGGGCGCCATGCTGCTGCGAGCGCCATGCACCCTCCATCTCCACCACTTTTTAACCGCTCCTTGCGCGACGTGGCTGTCATTCCCCATCATGTGCGTTGGCAAAGCAACACATGAGGCATGACCAATGCTGCGGTCACCCACCCTGACGTACTCCATGACTACGTATATGTCGGATGGCGTCTCGATGACCTCGTACAGCCGGATGATGTGGGGGTGCATGAACAGCCGCAGGATCTTGATCTCACGGTGGAC